AAGATCGTTATTTCCAGGTATTAGAAAGCTTGAAAATATATAACACTATTGCAAATTTTATATTCATATGTCTAAGTTATTCCACTGTTAAAATCCTCTAATACGCATCATTGTTTTTAAGTAATATGTTTCCTTTCGTCTCTGTCACAGTACACCACTGAATAGAAATTTATTTACCATATAAATACAACTGGAATTGTTGAGACTTCTTTTCATTAAAGACAATTGTCAGCGTTCAATGACAGATAAAAGGCAAAAAAAATAGTTTACCGCTGCAGAATTCGTTATATCAGATCATAACCTATTCATCCTCAAAAGGAATATGAGTTTACATTGATATGTTTAAAATTATTTTTGTCAGGTGACAGTTTGGATAGTTTTGTGGAAAATAATAAGAGTACGTATCACTATTTTCATTCCAAAGGACAAAAAGCTATAATTTACGCCAGCTGACTTTAAAATAAACTAGTCTTCAGTCAAAACAAAACTTTTGGATGAGGTTTTATGCTGAGGAGCAACGTCTTTCTTCTCTGTATGTGCTTTATTGGATATCAGTGAAAAATATAAGACGAAACGAGAAAAGAAAGAGAAATAGCAAACAAATAAAAAAAAAACATCCTGTGATGTCACACTGGCTGTCAGGGCTGCTTGGCAGACTTTTCGAGAACATTTTTTCCGAATGTTAGTAGCTAAAGTAGCGCTTCTAAAAGAAAAATCAATACCAAATGATAAGTAAGGATCCAAGAAACAAATTGAAAAAAAAAAAACGGACTCCTGCAAAAAGTCATAGTAAAAAAAGACAACACGGAGAGTTTGTTTATAATACGGATCCTGAGAACAAAGTCTAGCTTTCATGAACGGAAGCGGAGAAGTTAAAAAGAGAAAGAAGGGGAAAATAATGACAGGAAGTAGATAAGAATGTGGGAGGAAGAATGTATGAAAAGTAGAAAAAGAGTAAAGAAGAAGGGGAGTAAAGAAAACGAAAAAGAAAGAAAATGAAAGAAAGAGTTCAATCAAACATTGGAACAGAAAACTATAGATGCGATAAACATAAAAATGGCGGACAGAGAGTAGAATCGAATCGGAAGATGAAAATAGAATAGATGAAAAACAGACATCGAAAAAAAGAAATAAAACCTGCAAATATATTGGAACGAAAAAAAAAACTTTGATAAATAAAGAAATGTCAGATAGAAAAGTGTAGAGTACAGACAAAAGGCGGGAAAATTTTCAGATCAGATATGAAGTAAAGAATGATGGCGGAAGTATAAAGGAAAGCAATGAATTTTAGAAGGAAAGTAAGAATGAAAGTTGAAATGCAAAATGAAAGAAATAGGAAGAGAAGGAGTAAAGAGAGGAAGCAAAAACAATAGATGACCTATATGAAGTAGCATTTTTGAAAGAGAGAAAAATAAACAGATCTAAAGAAAGTCTAGAATCAACGTAAAGAATGAAAGAGTTTCGGGACTGACCATGTTGTCGGTAGAGAATCGTTACCAAGCAGAACGTGAACTTGAGAGCTCCGTATACGGGCCAAAATGTCAAAACAGACATAATTTGACGGGCAGCGAACGCGCATTCTGTGGGTACAGGCTTAGGTCGATCGGTCATGACTTTTTGGTTGTTGGTTAGGGCACTCCTGGGTTAAGTGATTTATGGATAGACCGTAAAAGGTGAAAGCCACGTTTCGAAGCGAGTGAAAGGTTGCTATGTGTGTTAGGAAATAAAATGCGTATCAGAAGATACAAAATGAAAAACAACATTTATTTTGTTTTCATTCGCTGTAGCAGTATTTGTGTCAGTTCCACTTTAAGTTCCTGTTTTTATTTTTGTGATTTGTTTTCATTTTCTCAGCTTTCCCAAAAAAAGCAAAGCAAAGTGATACAGACAAAAATCGCTCTTTATAACTAAAGATGGGGTTTGATGATAACTTGTAAAACGAATATATAATACATTTTATGCCATTTGTAAAGAATTTATGACCAATACATTTTCGCCTTCGCATAACTGATTATATAGAATTTAGAATGTACGCTTTTGTCGAGAAACTTCTAACGCGTATTGAAGCGTTTACTGTATGAAATAAAAATATCTGAAATTATTGTCGTGAATAACTAATATATATATATATATATGTGTGTGTGTGTGTGTGTGTGTGTGTGTGTGTGTGTGTGTGTGTGTGTGTTTATGTGTGTGTGTGTTGCGTTTATTTTGGCTTTTCACTGAGTCATGTTTCATTGAATATTTTAGAAAATTAACTAAAGGAAGAGAGAAAATTATCGCGATGATACATATTTTTCATCCGAGTACAGTACTTGGAATAAATAATATGTATCAACACAGTAATATTCTCACTTCCTTTAATAATGACACCAAAATGTTTGTACGTGAATATGAAAGGATCCAGTTGAAAATAATTTGACAAAACTATTCAATGAAACATGCCTCAATATGTCTGTGTGAGTGTGTCCGTGCGTTTGTGAGTGTGTGTGTGTGTGTGTGTGTATGTGTGCGTGTATTTATGGCGAACTTGGTCGACTATATATATAAATATATATAGGCAGCATGTCTTTATTCAAGCATGTTTTGGTTGAATAATCTCGACGTATTATGTCTATTTCTATTTTAAACATCTGGCATCATCGGATCAACTTCTAGTGATTTTTTTAAATACATAATTTGTAATTTTTAAAAAGGTTACAATTATATAAATTAAAGTTGCCTGCTTTAGATAAACATAATAGAATTAACAGTGAATTTTTAAATTAATTATAAGGGAGCGCGTTCATGCACGTCTATAATAATTAACAGCGTGTTTCATGTGCATGACATAAATTATTTGCTTCAGCCAGATGAGATTGAAAGTACTTTAGGAAAAAAAAAAATGAAAAATATAGGGCATCTTCCGTAATGATTTTAATAACAATATTAAGGCGTTGGTTCAAGAATTCGAGAGGATTAAATAAAAATAGACATAATAGCACTTTTACCCGTTATTTTTACCCCAATTATTCAACCAAATATATATATATATATATATATATATATATATATATATATATATATATATATATATATAGTTATACATATATATAGTTATACTCGTTTGGTATTTTGGCCTGTAATTGAACAAACCAATGCCCAAGGGAAAATAAGGGAAAAAAATAAAGAACTAAGAACTAAAATTGAGGCGAAAACAATCGTGCAGAATCCAAGTTCACAGTCCAAGAAAGAAAACTCCAAAACGAGTAAAGCAAAAGTAACTACGTTAAGTAGAGAAAACATATATATTTATATATATATATATATATTCAGCACACAAATTAAACTTCATTTAAACAATAAAATTTTTTGAACTATTTCATTGTTCGGACTGTTGTCCTCATTCTGACAAGTTGATAAATTTGAGGACAACTGTCCGAACAATATAACTCGTGTAAATAGTCACAATGCCTCATCTCGGAAATATCGACAAACACAAATTTTAATAAAAATAACAAGTCATAAATATCGAAAATAAAGCTATTAATATATATTACCAAAAACAAACAAGACGAAACAGCAATATATTAAACATCATACATAGATAAGATATAAAGCATTGGATAAAAAATAAATACATCAGATTCATTATTTACTACAAGAAAGTGTTACGTACGAATATTCTTGCCTACTTGGAAAATACTTCTTTATAAATAAACAACGCAAATCGTCTCATATAGGACATATTTTTTTAAGGCAATTCACCCCAAGCAAGGCGGGAGTGCCCCTAGCACCCAAGGCGTTATAGAGGATTGATAACAAGTGTAAAGTGGTGTGTTTGAGGAAAAGATACTGAGAAGAACGGGGAACAAGATCAAGGTATCCAGATGTCGATTGACATTACACTTAAACATTTGAAGATTATAGTCATCGGGGAATCAAGTAAGGGGGAGGGAGTTCCACAGACGGGAAGTGCGGGTGAAGAACCTGTTTGAGAAGAGACGGTTATATTTGACCGTTTTTACAGTTAAAAAGTAGAACCGAGATGCCAGCCTGATAGCTCATTTAAATTTATGTAGTCCGGGAAGCACCGAAAGTAGCCTGTCAGAACAATTGCCGTGAAAATATTTGTAGAAGATACAGAGGCCACAGCACCTTTGTGGGATAGCGATTGTAGACTAGATGCCAGATCAGGACCTATCATCTTGTATATTCGTCTCTGGATTTTGTCAAGCACCTCGAGACGTACAGCTGGAGCACCAGACCATATATTAAAGCAACGTTCCATGCAAGGACGGATGGTTGATTTATAGATTTATGTACTCAGACGAGAAAAAAACTTTTTGGCACGACACAGAGAGCCAACTTTCCTTGCAGTAGTTGAAAGCTATTGATTCAATGTATTTATTCCACCTTATATCAGTGGACAGCGTGAGACAAAGCAGGCCTAGCGAGGCGCTCTCAACCATTTTGGAATCAGCCATCCTGACGGCAGGCAGGGATCGTTCCCTGTGGCGTGTAAATGAGAGCAGTTTTGTTTTGGAGGCATTGAAGTTTACAAGACATTTCCTGTCCTAATCAACTACAGGTTGGAGGTAGTTTTCGAGATCAGCAGCCAGGTTAATTTTGTCTACGAAACCAGATTTACTATTGAAGCAGGAGTAAATAGTGGTGTCGTCCGCGTAAATGCGAACTTGTTAACTGATGACATCGGGAAGGTCATTGATGAATAGGGCCCAAGATAGAGCCTTGGGGAACACCAGCGTTCATGAAAAAGGAGCCAGAGGAGAACCCGTTTGGGACGTCCTTAATTTCACAGTTTGACAGTAATGATTGTAGTAAGTCAAATAGTCCTCCTGTAATACCGTATCCCTGAAGCTTACGAAGAAGCCCAGCATGCCAAACCCTATCAAACGCTTTAGTGATGTCTAGAGCCACTGCTCGAGTTTTTCCATTATTGTTGAGTGCTTGGTATACAAATTTATTTATGGCTGTGAGCACGTCAGCAGTAGAAAAACTTACACCACCTGGCATTCCCAAGCGGTCACCCATCTAAGTACTGACCACGCTCGACGTTGCTTAACTTTGGAAGAGACCCGGTGTATTCAACGTGATATGTCCGTAAAAGACACGACCACATTCATACGCAAACTATTGCCTATCGGACCAGTGTACCATCAGACAACACATTAATAAGAAGCATAAAGATCATAGTTAGTATTAGACAGCTACTCACAAACAATTCCAAAATACTAGCAAAATAAATATTTACATTATTTTCATTCGAACTATTGTCCTCGGGTGTATATTGATCTGCATATCCCACAGGGACATATCAGAAAGACATTGGCGAAATCAAAAAGTAAAAATAATCTTAGGATCCGTGAGGCAATACTCATGCAACTAAAGCAACCATCAACAAATAAATCAATTTTATCTTAAGAACCCGCATCCTCAGATGGATATAAAATAATAATAGTGATGGAAAGCGGCCGGATGGCATTACAATTTTCCCTTTTAAAATGGAGAAGACGTTGATTTGGGATGCGACCTGTACGGATACATTTTCAGCCGGTAATTTGATCATGCCCGCGGTTCTCCGTCGCCTAGGACACAGAGATAAAAAAAATAGTTAAATATTCTTCTCTTGTTGATAGATTTTTTTTTTACTCCTGTAGCAGTGGAGACTTCTGGAGTTATTGGTCCTCGTTCAACGGCGTTCCTTCGGAGGATTGGCGCGATTACGTCTCGATTAAGGGACGAGCCTCGCGAAACGGAGTGGCTCTTGCAGCGTGTCTCACTGGCGATGGTTCGACGTAATGCTTTCTCCATCATTGCAGTTGGCAGAGGATAGAGAAAAATAAATTGTTTATAGTTACTTTGTTCAAACTTTTTTTTCAGTAAATTAAGCTCTCTATATTATTTTAATAAAAAAAGAATAAAGATAAATAATAAAACACACACTTAGGCACATCTCGTCTACGTCACAAGACTCTTTGCTTACGTCACCAAACTGACGAAAATCACCAGTTGTCTCTACCTAATCCGATGATAATTTATGAAGGCTTGCCACATATTTCTTGCACGTTTTTCTTCCGAAATGAACTTCGGACAATTTCTGACGGAATTTTCTATTTGTTTGTGAAAGATTATTCTGTATTTGAAAAAGTTCATTATAAAAATTAATCGGCGATAAATAACTGTTATCATTTATATGTACCTTCAAAACTTCAAAGGATGTTTTACGTAAAAAAATACTTTTTTGTCCTTTTTAGAAACATTGCGGATTCACTTGCGATTTACTTCCAAGTGAAACTCTCTGCTTCCGGGCATAGAGGAGGAACCCAGACGAGTCTATGACGAAGGACAGAGCCTTGTCTGTGGATTATAGACATCTACTCAACCCCATGTATACGGGGTCCACAGGGATTTTTTTGCGCGAGCCTACGGGCTCCGTTTACCCCACATTAAATTCGGCTTTGTGCCATATCTGACCACGCGGTTATGTTGTTGAAAGTCTTCAGACCTGAAGATTGCACTGAAGCATGAAACAGACTGTCACCACTTGTTGAATTCATTGTTCCCTTGTATAATTACACTGTCTATATCTCTAATACTTGAGAACTTTTACACATTATATAGCAAACCTATAACTTTAATATATATATATATACGATGAATATATATTTCATATATGAATCTTCCTACGAATGGACGTGCAATACCCTCCCCTCGCCAGCTGTCAACCAGGGGATTTTTCGGTGGCTAAGGCAGCACTGCCACCACTGGCGCCACCAGCAGTTATTGCCACCCGACAGAGTAGATGTGTCTACACGCGCACACACACACACACGCTCACACATACACGCTCTCTCTCTCTCTCTCTCTCTCTCACACACACACACACACACACACATATATATATATATATATATATATATATATATATATATATATATATATAGTGGCTAACAATAGACCAACTTGTAATTTTACTATCTTAAAATTAAAAACACAACAAATTATATTTACTAATTAATTTTTCACCTCAGGAGGAGTAGTTAGGTCCGGTAATCTTTCTTTTCACACTCCTTTCCACTCTGTTGGACATAATATATATATAGTTTATCATAGTAACATCAAATATTAAAAAAGAGCTCAATGTATTTATTATAAAAGAGCATATAAATTACACAAAAAAATCCAAAATATAGATCTATTTCGACCGACGAGAAGTACCTCAGTCTTATTCAGCTCCGGTATATAGACTATGTTCGTATCGGAATTACAAACTTTGGCAGCCGTAGAAAAATTGATATATAATTTATGAATTTCGATGTTTCAGTCAGACAAAATGTCCGAATTGGTGGTAAGGTAAGGGTAGAAGGTATTATTAGCCTTAAAGGGAATCGGTTTTAAAAATTAAATCGGATATTAGGTTAGGTTCCTACTTAAAAAATAACAAATCATACTTAAAATGAGATATATTACAAAGATTAGAAATAAGTCATATTTAGATAATTTTAAAAAAATTCTGTATTAAAGAATAAAAAAATTAAGACAAAATAAATTATCTATTTATATATTTAATGATAAGTTATATTAAAAAATTCAAAGCAAACCAAATTATATTTAAAAATAACATTAAATATATATATAATAAATAATGGAATAGTACAATTATTGATTTTTTTATTATTTTAGATATATTAAGATTGTCATTTTACGTTAGCGTCAACAGATAAAAATGTTGTAAATTTTTCATAGATAAGAATACAATATAGAAATCAAGCAAACGTTGGATATAATTCACAAAAATTTAAAATAAGACATTCAAACATCGGCAAAACGAAAACAAGAAACAAAGAACGTTACAAAAATTGATTTGAGGAAACATTGAAAGAAAAATAGGCTAGAAAATAGATTGATCTACAAGAAAATATTTGAAGAAAGCGCCCCTTGCCAAAAATATTTTCAAAGATAACAAATTAAGAGAATGGCCTCCAAGCCGTCCAGAAAACGTGTATTCCATCTTTAAAAGCGCAGATTATGAAAATAGAAACAATATTTAAGAAAAATCTCTGGAAAGCAATAAAAAAAATGTTGTTGTAGGATACCTACGGATGATAATGCGTATCTCCCCATTCACATAAATGCAGTAGTAAATACGGTATGTTGGTCTGCAGTTGAAGATGCGTCTCCTGCTTGCTGGTCAAACTCTCCGCCTCCGGGCAGAGGAGATCCCCAGACGAGGCTATGTCGAAGGGCAGAGTCTCGTCTCCGGAAACATGTACCCGACCCCGTTTTATACGGGGTTTACAGGGAATTTTTGGCCAAGCATACTGGCTCGGATACCCCACATTAAATTCGGCCTTATGCCACATCTGACCGCATGGGGCCTTTGGTAGATATCCTGCAGTTGGAGATTCACTGTGGAATTCACTTGACTCAATTCTAGCAGTTGACTACTACTTCTACGCGCCGCTGGCGAATCTTATATGTGTTGTTCTTGTCCTAAGTATTATCGTTCATTACCAACTTTCGTGTGATTATTCAATTCAGTAACCTTCCCTAGGTTACAACAATTGTATAAAATATATGTTTCATGGCCTATAACTTTTGAATTTATTCGTATTCATTTTGCTTTTATGTATAATGAAATATGATGACACGTAAAAAAATTATTATTAATGTGTTTAATACGTCTAGATATTAGACGATCAGACTCGCACTATATATATATATATTGTTTTATGTAAATATATGTATATCTAGAAATTATACGATGTCTTGATTTAAATGTCTTCATTTAAAAGAGATTGATTTCTTAAAGATGTTGTAAAAACACTGAGTTGCATATTAAACACAGACAGTGTATTTGTAAATATTAGAAGCCTTTTCTGATACTACATAGTAAATAAAAACAGGTTTGTACATCCAGGAAAACGACAATTAAATAATATAAATATACATTTAAACTTATTATAGAAAAATGAGCCTCGCATTTTTATCATCCTAAGTAACCATATCATCTATATATAATACCTATGGAAATTGGATGAAATTGTACGTTTAGAAGTAGTATTTCATTTGAAACACTGAAGAGCCTGGTAAACGATTAGCCGTTTTAACTCAGATAAATCAATAATTGTTTTTTTGGGGTTTTTTTACCACAATTAAGATAAGATCTATAATTACTAAACTTGTTGAGAAACTGAAAAATCTGAAAAAGAATGTAATCTGTCATTTTACATATTCCGAGGTGAATACGTTTGACGCCAAAATGCGTTGATATAGAGAACGATTTCTCAAAGATATCTTTGCATCAAATGGCACTATCTATTCAAAATATATTTGCAAATATGTCCACAAAGATCTCTTTCTATGAAAGTGTGCTTTGCTTTCATGATCTTTTCTAGACAATGCAATGTGCCACCAAGATAACCTGGCTTCAGAGATCGTTTCACCTCAAACAGTTGCTTACGTTTTGCCTCCAAGATCACCGTGCTTCAAAAAATAATGTTTTCTCCAAGACTGTATAACATACAACAGAACCTAGCTGCATGAGTCGTCAAGACCTTGATTAATAGAGCAAAGGCGGTTGTTTTCTTAAATGCATCGATTTAAAAATGCACTTGCTCTCAAATATCGAGCCACATACATTCAAGAGATTTTTGAATTCAATATCTCCTTGTTTCAAAAAGTGCTTTTGCTTCAAATACGGCTTACTTCTAAAAGCGATTTCTCTCTTGCTTCAATCTGTGCATTGCCTTTTCGATTACCTTACGTCTAAGAGATTTCTGCTTAAATATTCTACTAGCTTCAGAGGCCTCTTTGCCTCCATGTCGGGTTGGTTTCCAAGAAAGCTTAACCTCAAAGTGTGCTATATTACCAAGGTCATTTCGCCTCAACGATCTCCTCTCTTCAATGAGCTTTTTGCCCTTCTGTTCGCCTTACTTCCTGGAGCCGTGTCTTTCCAGTATTTTCTCACTTAAATGATGCATGGCATCTAAGAACACTGTTAGAAATATTTATATTGTTCGGACTGTTTTCCTCATCTTTATTACCATATTCACGTTCTTTCGGTCGTTTTACGTTCCGGTCTTCTTCAGATGATTGGATTT